CACACTGCTGCTACTGAGTGTCGGTGGTGGAGGAAGTAGATGCTTGTAGACACAGGGCCATTCAAGCAGGCCGCTTTGTCCTGGATGGTGTTAAGCTTAAGTATTGTTTGAGCTGCACCCATCTCAGCAAGTGGGGACTATTCCATCACACTTCTGACTTGTGCCTTATAGGCTTTGGAGACTCAGGAGGTGAGTTACTCACCGCAATATTCCTAGCCTCTGACCTGCTCATGTAGCCACTGTGGTTATATGGCGAGTCCAGTTGCGTTTCTGGTCAATGGTAACGCCTAGGATCTTGAAAGTGGGGGATTTAGTGATGCTAACACTGTAAAATGGCAGCGGTCAGGTTGTCTCTTATTAGAGATGGTCATAGCCTGGCATTTGTGTGGCACGAATATTACTTGCCACTTGTCAGCTCAAGCCTGGATATTGTCCAGATCTTGTTGCATTTGAACACGGACTGTTTCAGTATCCGAGGAGTCGCAAATGGTCCTGAACATTGTGCAATCATTGGCAAACATCCTCACTTCTGACCTTATGATGGAGGGAAGGTCATTGATGAAGTTGCTAAAGATGGTTGGGCCTAGAACATTACCCTGAGGAACTCCTGCAGAGATGTCCTGGAGCTGAGAATGACTGACCTCCAACATTTATGACCATTTTCCTATATGCCAGGTGGGACCCTAACCAGCAAAGAGTTTTCCCCCTGATATCCATTGATTCCAGTTTTGCTAGGGTTCCTCGATGCTACACTCAATCAAATACAGCCTTGATGTCAAGAGCTGTCACTTTTGCCTCACCTCTGAAATTCAACTCGTTTGTCCATGTTTGAACCAAGGTTGTAATGAGGTCAGGAGCTGAGTGGCCCTGGCGGAACACAAACTGGGCGTCACTGAGCAGGTTATTGCTGCGCAGGTGCTGCTTGATAGCACTGTTGATGACACCTTCCATCACTTTACTGATGATCAAGGGTAGACAGATGGAGCAGTAATTGGCTGGGTTAAATTTGTCCTGCTTTTTAAGTACAGGACATAATCTGGGTAATTTTCAACATTGTTGGGTAGAGGCCAGTGTTGTAACTGTACTGGAAGAGCTTGGCTAGGGAAGCGGTAAGTCTTCAGTACTATTGCCGGTATGTTGTCAGAGCCATAGCCTTTGTGGCATCCAATGCTTCCAACAGTTTCTTGGTATCACTTAGAGTGAATCGAATTGGCTGAAGACTGGTATCTGTAATGCTGGGGACCACTGGAGGAGGCCGAGATCATCCACTCAGCATTTCTGGCTGAAGATTGTTGCAATGCCTCAATTTATCTTCTGCAATCTTTTAATCAAGTAAAGTCATCGATTGATGGCAAAAAATGCTAGCAGATGTAGCATATGTAATGGAAACTCACAGTGTAATAACAAATTGTAACAGAAAACCTCATAAAACAATTCTGTGGACTATAAATCATGAAAAGGGATCTCTGCTGGGAAAACATAGAAAGGAATTAAATAATATTCTTGTAACATACTTTCATTTATTGACTTCACTAGCACATGTATTGCAAAGTAAGGAATAAATTTTGATGCATTTTATGCTGAAACACTGCTGTTATAAAAAGCAAAGCAAAAATAAACATTTTATTGACAATTCCTGAGCTACTACTTGTTGCTTATATAACTACAAATCAGTGTCTTACACCCATGCAAAGTACTCATCACTGTTAAAATGAATGAAGTCACGTAAAGAGGCATATGGCCACTCTTGGAACTTGCATGCATTTTGCAACATGGTAAAGGAATTCAAACTGCAACTGATTGGACAATGCTGCAAATTGTCAACTGAGACTGAACAGGAGGTATTTTGAATTGTAGAATATTTTCAGGGGACGATGAGGCTGTACTTTATACTTATTTTAAAAAACTCCCTACATTCTTTGCTCCATAAAAATTTTAAAAATTGCCATACCTGACAGCTGTACCAAATGAGAAATGTGAAGAAATGTCACATAGAACTCTAATCAAGGAGACATTTAGTTTGGTTCAACAAAGAAAAAGGTTGCAGGATCACTGCAGTTCCATTAAGTCAGTTCGTGATCTGATTCAAACCAGAGATAAGAGAAATACATCCTCAAGGCAGAACAGAAAAGAAAATCGCAGGAATAAGAAAAATAGCCTGTGCTACTTTCAGTCAAGAGCAAGCCCTTTTTTTGGGTTATCCAATGGCTCATTACATGCAACCCAATATCCTTGCTTTGGACATATGATCAGTGATATGACAACTTATTTTAGTTAAGAAGACAGTAGAAGTACTGCTATTATCCTCAATGTTCCTAAAATGGGGAAGGAAAGATCAGCTGGAGCCCACATTCTTGATCAAGTTGAAAATTCATGGCATAAGTGCTTGGATGGCCAATAAAAGCATCATGCTCAGCTGCAATGCATCCACAATTGTAACATGCTGACACACACAATTTAGATTCACAGGCACATGTCAGCAATAACAGTTAGTGAAGGCTCTAGGAGGCAGCTGTCATCCACAGACCGATTCCCAACAAGGGTCAGGATGAGTAAAGAAGTGACGATCAGTAGAGGAAAGAAACATTTTCTGAAAAATATCTAAATAGGCAATTTAAAATTCTCTGATGTGAAGAGGTCAAAATGAGGAGAAAATGTTTTCCAAAAAAGGTGAAATCCTTATCGCACCTTCTCTTTGAGATTGCTTAAATTCAATTTAATTAAAAGAGGGCACAGATAAAAATAAGCGTTGCAATGATTTATTTTCAAACAAATGCTGGTCTAGGCAAAGACACCCATATGCTAAGAAAATAATTTATAAAAATCTAGGGTCCCTTGCATGTCTTTCTATTCAGACTTCATGATCGCACATGTATAATTACATTGCTTTCAATATTTAACTTCAAGTTGTTCAAACATGTTTACGCATTACTACAGAGAAATATTTTATTGGGATACAAACAGAACTTTTCCATAAATGCAGAACAACAACTTATGGGAGAACGGAATTTTCAAGTGATTTGTATGCAAGCATATAAGAGATCAGAGATTTTGTGCATGTTATATTATAAATAGGTTTCAACATAAGCCAACAAAGCTTCAAAAAGTAAAGTATGCACAACTGAATTATCCCATATAATTGGAATCTGTACACCTGCAAATGTCTCTCATATCTTCGTTTTTATTGGGCAGTTGCTTTGAAATCAACCTTTACAACTATGTTCTTCAGTAACATGGTCATTCCCCCATAATCTGGTAAAAGTACTTATATAGTTAAGCAACTGTGAAATTGCAGTGTTGAAAAGCATTTCAGCCCAGTGTCTGAAGCCATGTCTTTTGGCAGGCACTGATTCTGACAGCAGTGCCTATTGATGTTTAATACAAGAGCAAAAGACACTTGGATGCAAACATGAACTACACCAAAATTAGTAGCGCTCAACATCTCAAATAACAGTTAATTAGAAGTTTACAACATGTAGTCAATTGAAGTTTACAATGGTTGCAAAGTCTCGATATCATGATTGTAGTTTTGTTTGAACATGGATACTTTGTAGATATTTGCTTCAATCTTGGAAGATGAATGTCACATCAAGTGACACAGTGAAAGAGAAGCATCAGCAGTAGGTAGAAAGGTACAAAGATACCAGTATTATCCTTTACAACACGGTACGTAACAACTGAGTCTGTAATGCCACAATGTTTTCCTTTTACAACATTACGATGTGCATTCAGCGGATAAATGAAAAAAAACCTCAAAAATGCATTTAAAGTGGTCACACAACAAAAAACGCATTGAGGTAGTCCTTTCAGAATTCCTGGAATTCTCCACAATCAATTAAAGACTTTTGAAGTGCAGTCACTGTTATAGTGTAGGGAATATGGCAGGCAATTTGCATGCAGCAACTTCTTGCTAACATAATGACCAGATAATCTGTTTTTAAGCAATGTCGATTGAGGGATAAGTGTTGGCAAGGATACTGGGAACAAGTTTCCCAGCTCTTCTCTGAAATGGTACGCTTGTTTTTTGAAACATCTGTCCGAGGTGTCTGAAAATCTTGTCTACATTGCATTGGATATCAGCCTTGATTTTGTGCTCATGGCTCTGAAATGGGACTTGAACCCACAATCCAACCACAATGGGCTATTGCTAATTTTTAGTGAAAAGCACTGAGCAAGCTCCAAAATTATACCATTCTAATCTACCAACTTTTAAAGCTGATGCAAAAAATTATTTTCTGATAGAAAATATGGATAGAAAGTGAACATTTATGAATATCAAGATCTTTAATCCGTTAGAGACGCTGTTATATATTCAACATTTCAGTTCATTCAGGTAGGAACTTTACTCCGTCTATACTTTTCTTGCTATGATATAGTTTAACATGGCTAATCCCATTTGGTAAAAGCTTGCCCACACAGTCTAACACATTCTTGTTCAAACAGTGAGTGACCTATTTGTCCTTTATAAAATACTTCATTTTTTTTTGGCTTATATTATTTACAATCAATAGATCCATTGTGTATTACCCCATTAAGTAATTTACCAAATGCACATTCTGATGGCCTTTTAAGCTAGACTTCATTGATGCCAGGCCGATTTGAACTGTAAAGCACTTGCCTTCTGGAAATGCAAATTTATGAATTCAGTTACATTCTGCTTGAAAGAGTTTTTTCCTTTTTTCATGCATTCCATTCAGAAACAGCAGCACTAATGTGAATAGTTATTGATTTCATGAGAAGGAATTGTATTTTCAAGTCATGACATTCATTTGAGATATTTCTTCAGCTTTTTAATTCACAGCTATATTTAGAAAAAGTTTACAGAGGAAGTATAAACTTATCATTGAAAGGAAGAGCTTCTGTTATTAAATACGTGTAATATTTCCCGATCCATTTAGGCACGCATGGCAAAAAGTACTTTTTCAGGATTTATTATGCAAGTTTTTTTTAAGAAAGCTCTTGAGAGGTTGAATAGTACAAGGAAAAAAAACTCCTCTCACCTGTCAGATTGAGGGGCTGGCCAACTTCTGCCGTCATTTCTGTGGGGATAGCACTGGATCCCATCAGTAGACTTCCATCTGTCGCTCTACTTCGGACAGGCCCCTCCAGCATATCACCAGCATTCATCCTGCTCCCTCTTCAATGATGATTTGCTGTTATAAAAATCACGTTAAAGAATTTCCTTCTGTTCATTCGGTTATACATCAAACATTCGGTCATACATTACTGCTAGATGTTGTTCAGCCCACTTTTTAAAAAAAATTAAAGTTGATTGTACAGTTCAGTGAGTAATCACGGTTGAAGTATTCCTCAGCCTTTCATAAAACAGTGAACAAACAAAAAGTTAAGACGGTAACATAAGATTTGACAAATATGTTTGCTGACTTGTCTCCTCAATCCATATTATTAAGTATTAGCTTAATTTGAATGTTAAATTCGAGATAACAGGAAAACGTGACCAGTGAAAGAGAAAAAGGAAATGACAACTAATCATTACAAACTTGTATTTCCCTCACTGAATTTTACTGCGCTTGAAAATTTCCTCTCAAAACGGATGTCATGTGCATTAAGTACCACACTGTCAATGTCTCAAATTAATCACTGTTCACTCATGAACATTTTATCACTGTGTTTCAACGTTTCAATCGCTTTCCCCTTAAACACACGCGCACATCGCCTTGAGATTTCTTGGCCCAACATGCTTAACGACGTTTAATATTTGGTGACAAGAAGTTGTTCACTTTGTGGTGATTGACAGTCAGGTGTCTCATTATCCAGTTGACTCGTTTAAAAACACTCACTTACATGTCTTCGATGATTTTTCACAGTATTTTGCGATGAACGGGGTGAAGCTTTTTACTACAATTGTGGCGCTGCGCTTTGTGCCATCTTTCCTGATCTCCTCGATTAACAATTACTATCCAGTTAGGATAGATACAATCTGCTAAACTGTGACTCAATACGGTGGTAATAGTTCCCCCTGTTGTTAAACTCAAAGCATCGCCGATTTCCACTTCTCCACCTGATCAGTTTACACAACATAATGACTTAACCAAACTGAACGTTGTCTTCAATTGAAAATGCTTTTTAAAAAAGGGCTTCCTGGGCGGAGAGAAAACTAAATAAAAATTCAACTTCAATCTACATATGTACAAGTGCTTCCGTTCGCCTGCAGCGTGTTACTTCCGTGTTTCTGTAAACTGCGAGAAAGAAAAAGCACATTGTTTTTTTAAAAAGAGCGTTAACATTTTCCACCAAATGTCACACTCGGGGTGTGCGTGTGTGTGACCGAAATGCAACAACATCTTTCAAGCAGGCGTGTGAAATTGTCACTGAAATGAAAAACCCCTGCTCCAGAAGGAAACTGCACGCAGCGGCCAAAAAGAAATAGCCGCCGCCACTTTGGAAGGACAATGCGTTAAATGAAAGCATTTATAACTGGGCGACAAACTAAGAAATTCATCAAATACCTGGAAACAAGTGGAAACTCAAACTGAACACAGCAGCAAGCCTTCACCTCCTCCTCCTCCCTTTCCCACAGCGCAGCCACTCTCGTGTCCTCTCGCTCCTGGCCAAAAACAAATACTTTACAATTTCTCTTCATTGACTTTCTCCAAAAGGCAAAAAAAATACATTGAACAAACAAGGAAGGATTTGTTTTTTTTTTCAAAGAAAACCTTTGCAGAACAGGGATATTTATCAAAATGGCGGAGCGCAGAATATTTACAGCACAGCTATGTTGAGTGCATTATTATAGAAAAAAAAACATTGGGGGGTGAACTGCCGCAAAATTCCAAAAATACTGCAACTTAAGCGGGCAGATATCTGCAAAGTAATATTTCCGAATGAATCGGGATGCAAACGCGCAGCCCTTCTGCCGAACGGCTGACTTTTTCTTGTTTATGTGTAAGGGCACTGGAAATGCAATGTGAGGTGTTATTGCAGGAAAACGGTTTGTTTTCTTTAAAGCTGAGCTACAAACATACAGGGAAGGGGGTGGGGAGACAGTATAGACTGGTGGAAAACGGAGCATGTTGCGTTTCTCGATCTGACAGATTTTGTTTTCTCAGTTCCCCCTTCCCCGTTTAAATAAAAATGAATTGTTGAAGTAGTTTCATTGGTAAACCAGTCAACAGCAATTCCGCATTGCACGTCATGAAAACTAAAAAAAAAGAGTCAGTGCATCTGGTAGCAGAAACTGTCAGAAAAGTGTGAAACAAAGTGTGTTCCATTCTGTAAAGGGAGGGGAGGGGGGTGCCTAACCGCGCTGGGAGAGCACTAGTCCAGCTTCTTTTTTCCTTCCCTATTTCTAAACAGAGAGAATTAACATTTGAGGCTGAATGCCTTTAACAGGAGCATTGACTCCAGACCCTTTCTCAGCGCAAGCGCGGAGAGCAGCCACTGCTGGAGGCGGTGAAGCGACAACTCCGCCTTGCTCTGGGTGAAAGAAACAGAAGGATGGAGAGAAAAGCCCTAAAGCTGAGAACCCACCTCGTACTGAGAAAGAGAAGATTGGGAGCTGGAAACTACCAGGCACTCAACAAGGCTATGAGCATTGGCACTCAGCACAAACATGGGAGAAGCGAGGGAGGTGAATAGTTAGCTGCTTATGACTAGAAAGATGATATTGAAACTATGTGACTGCTGTTGACCATGTTGGACTGAATATGGCATCAAGGAACCTAGCAAAATTGGAATCAATGGTAATCAGTGGGGAAAGTTCTCCACTGGTTGGATTTGTGCCTAGCCCAAAGGAAAATGGTTGTGGCAGCATCTGTGGGGAGAAAGCAGAGTTAACATTTTGGGTCCAGTGATCCTTCTTCAGATTCCTCTCAGTCGGGAGAGAGAGATGGGGTTGTGAGGCAAATCCTTCTGAAGGACAGTCACTGGACCCAAAATTGAATCTGAGAGAGTAGGAACTGCAGATGCTGGAGAATCTGAGACAACAAGGTGCAGAGCTGGATGAACACAGCAGGTCAAGTGGCATGTTTCTGCATCTTCAGTTCCTTAGTATTTTTCTCAGTACGAGTGGGTTCTCAGGTTCTCAGCTTTAGGGCTTTCCTCTCCGTCCTTTTCTTTCTTTCATCAGAACAAAGTGGAGTTGTTGCTTTACTGTCTCCAGCAGTTGGTGCTCTCTGCACTTTCGCTATCACCCTGTCCACCTCTCTCTCCCAGCTGAGAAAGGGCGTAGAGTTAATGCTCCTGGTAACGGCATTCAAGCCTCAAATTTCAATTCCCTCTCTATAGAAATGGGTTGTGGTTATTCTAAGTCAATCACCGGAGTCCCAAAACATTATTGCAGATGATCCTCGGAGTAGTGTCCTCAAGCCAACCATCTTCATCTGCTTCATCAATGACCTGCCTTCCATCAAAGAGTCAGAAGTGGGGATGTTCAGTGATGATTGCATGATGTTCAGCACCATTTGTAACTCCTCCGGCATCCGATCAGTCCCTGGGAGCAAGACCTGGACAATATTCAGGTTTAGATTGATAAGCAGCAAGTAACGCTTAGCGCCTTTCAAGTATAGGAAATGACCACCTTCTGCAAGAAAGAATCCAGCCAGGGCCCCTTGATATTATTGAAAGGTATTGCCATCGCTGAACCCCTCACTATCAACATCACAGTTTTATCATTGATGAAAAATCAAACTGGATCAGCCACGTAAAATTCTGGGCTGCAAAAGCAGGTCAGACACTGGGAGTTCTGTGATAAGTAACTCATATCATGACTCTTCCTCATTCCAGGCAAAGCACAAGTCACGAATGTGAGAGAATATTCTCCACTTGCCTGGGTGAGTGCAGTACCAACGACTCTCAAAAAACTCAATATCATTCCGGACAAAATAGCCTGCCTGATTGGCACCACATTCAAAACTTCCAACATTCAGCCCCTTTACCACCAATACAAAGTGACAGCAGTGTGCATCAGCTACGTGATGCACTGCAGACATTTACCGTGACACCTTCAGTTTCTAAACCCAGGACCTCAACCACCGAAAGACATTCGGGCAGCAGATGCTTGGAAACACCATCACCTGCAAATTTCCCTCCAAGCCATACACTGTTCGGACTTGGAACCATACAACCGTATCTTCATTGTTGCTTTGTTAAGATGTTGGAACTCCCATCCTAACAGCACCATGGGTATGTCCACACCCCAAGCACCACAGCAAGAAGACAGATCACCACCACCTTCACAAGGGCAACTCTGTATTAGCAGTCATTGCTCCACTAGCAAATGATGCCCAACTTCCCACAAAAGAATAAAATAACATCCAAATGGAAGTGAGCAGAAGAAAAAATGTGAAGATGTGAGGATTGAGCATGAAATTATTCCTCCCATGTGGGAAAAAAGAACAATTGGAGGAGAGGAAAAAAAACAGAATATGAAACATCAAAATATTTCTCAAAGGAATATTCGAGAAGCATACATAGTAAATTAGGTTTTTATTGTCATTCTGACCCTTGATTGGGATTGAGCATAGTCTGAATTTGAGCTTTATAATAAAATGAAAAAACATAAAAAAAGGTTTGAAAACAACAACATAGCACAATGAACATTTAACCCTGCCTTTGTGTTCTCTTTTAAATTAAAAATGACCAGTCACTTGTTTTAATTTTCCAGATGTATATTTATGATTCACTTCTCCACTGAATCAGTATTCTGTCCAAATCCTTTTAAAACATTTAACCAATGCATTATTATGAATCTGAGTAGCAGTTTCTTCAAAAACAAAGAATTCCAAATATAGAACTTTGCTTCTTAATGTAGGACTAATGAGTATTTATTTTTGTTGGATACTCATGTGCCAAGATTCTGTTATCCTATTTGCAACCAATGATTTCTTCTGAGAAAATTGAAAGAAGACTTGATGTAAGTCTTTAAAATCAGAAGTGAAATGAAGAAGGGTTACAGGATTAAATTTATCCTTTGATCAGACAATAAAAGAGTAAACAAGGAAGACTAGAAATTGGATTTCTTTAGAATGAATATGTCACACATTCTAAAAAAACGCATTGATCAAGCACATAAAACATGGAATTATTTAAGTAAGTGGCTGAGATACAGTATAAATACATATAAAGAATGACAACAATGATCAAATGTTGTGTGTAAAATGTGGTTCACTTGCCTCTGGCGCAGCAGAAGTGATACTACTAAGAGGGAGTTGGCCAGTGGAGTTGGTAAACTTAGACAGAAACTGTGGAGTTCTGTTTGATTCCACTAAAGCTAGAGGGAATTTTCTAAGAATTTTACTGTTTTTAGGATTATACTAGTTGAGAATTTCACTAAGAATATTTGTTGAGTTGGACAGAATCCATGATCAGCTAAGTTATGCACGATCCATTGAAGGAACATATTTGACGACCAACCTTTATATACACCCCACATTTCTTTATCATTTGTGATCACTTTTTTTAACAACCCAACTGTTCGAACCAGGTCTGAGTCACTTCATTCATGATACGTTCTCCATTGTAGAATAATTGATATTTTTAACAATCTACATGTACTGCCCTGCATTTCCTAATTTTAACACTAGCTGTAAATAATCCTTCCTTTCCATGCCTTTTCTGGCAACACATAGATATAATTTGTAAACTTAAGTCATCTACTCAACACAAACATTTTTAACTATCATTTCAATAGCAGAGATTCAATTTTGACTCTTCACCTTGCTGGCCGTTCATTGATCTTGTGCACTTTGACATCCAGCCAATTTTTATCCAAACTTCAAATTCTTCTTTTAAGTTTGGGGTTTTTAGTTCAAGTCACAAATCTTTTAACCAGCCTTATAAAATGTATTTTTAAAGTTCAGCCATATTTCTCCCACCAGATAATATTCCCCTACATTTTTTAAAAATGAATACATTTCTGCCTTGACCTCCTTTTATAAAGTCAGGTTAATTTGTAATTAGTAATATATTGCATTTTAGAAAATTATCCTAATATTTTAAAAGCTATCAATTCCAATTTTTTTCAAGTTTATGTTTCCAACCTTTTCTATTCACAATAAAATATTAACAATATTCTTCACCTAACTGAATGCAATGATATGAACACGTATTGGATAATGTGATGTTTTATAACGAAGTATAAAATGAATCAAATTACAACAAGAGCAATGAAGGCAGGTCTTTCTCATACCCCTGTGTTTAAAAGTAGTGATTTTAGGATTTCAATATCTTGGAAAGCAGATCATTTACAATATTTGTACCTTATAAGGGTTATATT